CCTTTATTCTGGCAACTACCAGTCTGCTTTATGAGAAGCCATAAATAAATAAAAAGTTGCAAGTCCAGTAAGATATTTGTACAGTTACTCCTTTTTGTAATATAAAGTGTATACGCTGTGTAAGCTTTTTCAAGGGCCTGAACATGACTCAGGTAGCTAGTGGAAAGAATGCAATGATTTAGATATACAAAAGAAATGTAAAAGCAGATAAATCCCTAGGGAGGGAGCAGTCTCCCACTTTCCGTATTTGAGTTTTGTATCTCTGAACCCAGTGGCAGGGAGCATGGGAGAGGACAAATGACTCACCACAGACCTGTTACGTGGTTGATTAACCTGAATCTGTGCCCTAGTTCGGTGATGTGACTAAGGGACATTTCACCTATAAAGAAGGAGGAAGGAAAAGAGTTGATAATAAAAATAAGGAAAAGGTTCTTAGAAGGATAGGACAGCCTTTCTCACGGTCCAGGGATGCTCGTGATATTTTTGCTGCATGTCCAGGTAACTCAGCTTTTAGATTTTCCACACTGCTGCATGAGTCCAAGATAGCTGGCTAAACCACACTAAAGTAAAAGGCAAAATCAAGTATGTATTTACCCTACCCAAAGAGGCAAAGTTTTACCTTTAAATGCTTTCAAAAGATTTAATGCTTCCGTGCTACCAGCTTCAGTGCTGTCAGGCATTTTCACACACTGCTTTATTTGAAAGGTCCCAGCTCACCAAGTGCTGCAGCTCTCTCTGTCCAACCGCCTTGCTCTCATCTGAGGTCTCCTTATATTGTTCTCACTTACTGAATAAATTGTTGGATAATGTTTGGCTTGGAGCTGGCCCCTAAGAATCTCTGCAGAGGGGCTCTTCACTTTCCAGCATTTTCATAGCAGCTGTTTTTGAAGCTGATGTATTTACTGGGGTGTCCTACAACCTGAAATCGAGGGTTGAACCCTGGCACAGCTCTGGATATTGACTTGCCTGTAGCCTCATGACAGATGGAAAGCAAGTTTGTTTCTTGTGACTAGTTTCCACAAGCCCAGGGTGACTTTCCCTTGAGACATCTCCTTTGCATACCTGTGGGATGGACTGGGCTTTGTGTTTTACTGACTGACCTTTTCTTTCTGCCCCTGCAGTTCTCCTGGAGCTGCCCGAGTCACTGGCCATCACTGGTGGCTATGCCCAGCAGTACCGAGCCGTGCAGCTGCACCTGCACTGGGGCTCCCCGTTGGGACTCGGCTCGGAGCACACCGTCAACGGCCAACGCTTCGCTGCGGAGGTACAGAGCGCTCGTGGTGGTGGGCGCATCCTCTCCTCTGGAGTCCTGTCTTGCTCCTAGCCCATGGCCCTGGTTGTCAGGGGATGAACACTGTAAGCCCTGGCCAGGATCCCTGCTCCCCCGGGCAGCTCTGCAGCAGCAGGGTTCAGTGTAGGAGGCCAGGCTTTGCTGCTGAGCCAGGCTCACGCTGCAGCCTGTGGCACAGAGGTGAGGAGGAGACCACTGTGGGCAGGGCAGCCTGTCCCTGTGCTACAGCCTGGTCCGGAGCTGATGGAGCAAGAGCTGCGGCGGTCCCTGGGCTGGGGGAGCCAGCTCCCCGGGTGGCAGTGAGCAGCCTGCTTTGGGAGCTGCAGTGACTGTTTACTCTGTACACACTGTCCTCCTGCTCTGCCAGCTCCCATCTGGTTTTATCCCTCCTTCTCTAGCTGCTGTCCTCAAACTGAGCCCAGATGTGCAGTATGACCCCCCCGGTATCTAGGGCAGAGTGCTGTTTTTCTGTCCCCAACTGGGGAACTTCTGCTGGCAGAAGTTCACACTTTCTGCTTTGTAGCAGCACGTTTTCTTGGTCCCACCAGCATATTCCCCTCCAAGGAGGGATGCTTGTCACAAGTGCATGTCCCTTCCAGCCCTTGCTTCAACAGGCTGGAGCCCTATGGGGGTGAGCACCTCCTGGAGGTGCCCATCCTGCACTGGGATTACATGTTTCCCTTCCAGATCCATGTGGTCCACTACAACACCAAGTATGACAGCTTTCAGGAGGCGATGGTCCACCCAGATGGCCTGGCTGTACTGGGAGCCTTCCTGGAGGTAAGTCCCATAGCTTAGCTCTGGGTGAGAAGGGATAGGAGCAGGGGGAGGGTGGACTGGGGTGGGTAGAGTCAGGGACAGTTTTGGGGACTGGCAAAGGTGCAAATGCTTCTGGCAGAAGGTGAGAGAGGGGGCAGTCCAGAGGGCAGAGCAGCCCTGATAGGAGGAAGGGGTCACTGGGACAGGGTGTCTCTCACAGGGAGTGATACCTCACAGAATCACAGAATTGCCCAGATTGGAAAAGACCTTTAAGATCATCAAGTCCAATCATTAACCTCACACTGACAAGTCCCCGACTAAACCCTGTCCCTCAGCCCTATGTCTACACGACTCTTCAATCCCTCCAGGGATGGGGACTCCACCACTGGCCTTGGCCGACCTGTTCCAATTCCTGAGAACCCTTTCAGGAGAGAAATTCTTCCTCATATCCAATCTAAACTGCCCCTGGTGCAACTGGAGGTCATTTCCTCTTGTCCTGTCACCTGTTCCTTGGTTGAACAGACCCACCCCCACCTCTCTCCACCCTCCTTTCAGGCAGTTGTAGAGAGCCATGAGGTCTCCCTTCAGCCTCCTTTTCTCCAGGCTCAACAACCCCAGTTCCCTCAGCTGTCCCTGCTGGCACTGCCATCACCAGCCAGTCTCCGTTCAGCCCTTGTCCTTGTCATTACTGGGGGGTCTCTGTGTTGCAGGTTGGGCCAAGGGAGAACCCATACTATCAGGAAATACTCGAGCATCTGTACAAAATCCAAAGAGAAGGTAAGGCCCTGTCCCACCTAGTACTTGTCTCGGGGTTGCAGCCCAGCAGAGAAGCCGGCTGGATGCAGAGAAAGGCTGCAGCAGGCGTTTGCTGTAGGTGTGTGAGCAGGGGAGCACTGCATGGCTGGTACAGAAACAGCTCTCCAAGGTGCCTTCTGCTCACACGTGCCCTTTCCTTGCCTCTAGGACAAACCCACTGCTCTTTCTCCAGTGCACCAGTGTGGACCCTGACACATGCAGTGCCAGGCTGCCCATGATCTCCGTGCTTGTCCTGCCTGTCGTCCTCCAAAGGGTTGCCCTGTTCTCACTCCCATGGTATTTCTTCTCCCAGGTGAGGAAGTCTTGGTGCCTGGATTCAACATTGCAGGTCTGCTGCCTGCCAATCTGAAACTCTACTTCCACTACAACGGTTCTCTCACCACTCCTCCCTGCTACCAGACAGTGAAGTGGACAATCTTCAACCAGACCATGGTGCTCTCTCATGACCAGGTCTGTCAGGGCAATGAGCTCCTTGCTGGGTCTTGCCGAGCCTCTCCCTGCCAGCGTGCCCCGTCCCTGGGGCTCACCTGGCTCCCGAAGGCAGGATGCACCCTGCTCTGCTCACACCTTTCTCCTTCCAGATGCTGATGCTAGCGATGAGCCTGAGAAACGACGACAACCAACCTCTGGAGAACAATTACCGGCTGGTGCAGGGCCTGCATGGGCGACGGGTGCTGGCGAGTTTCCAGACCACCCTCTTTTCATCGAAGCAGCTGCCTTCTGGTAAGGAGTGTGTGAGCGTGCTCGGGCTGCACCCAGCTGCAGGGATGCAGAGACAGGGTGAGGAGCAGGAGTCAAGGCTTTGCACCTCTTATAAAAATGCAGTATTTGCATGGGCTAGCCCTGCCCGGCAGGTGACTTACAGCAGCACTGGTCTTGCGGTCCTGTTCTCCCTCATTTCTGTGTTTCTCTCACCCTGCCTGGGGAAGATTGGTTTCTGGGAACTATTTTATCCTTAATCTTGCAGAAATAACAGTAGCATGACTACAGGATCTATGGTCAAGAGCAAACAGCCAGGTGCTAGCATCCCAGCTAGTTTCTTCATCCCCAAACGCAATAGCTAAATTCAGTAGTAGCTGCAGAGGTACAGGCTTGCAGCGAGCACCCCACTGCCAAACCCTGCAGGGAGGGCAGCGCAGGGCACCCCTCCTGAAGGCTGAGCAATGTGAGCAAGGCCAGCACCCATCCTGGCTGGGCACACAGTCCCCTGCCTGAGGCAACCCCATCTGCCCGTCCTCAGTTTGTCCTCGAAAGCCATTCTTACATTGGTGGTTTCCAGCGATGAGTAGAAATTCCTGTTAATCCTCAGGTGTGACTATCGCTCTACATCACTGAACTCTTGCTGTTTTCTGAGGTCACCGGGGTTTTTCTGTCCAACATCTTGTTCCTTTTCTGTTTTGATAGCATTTCCTACACCTTGTGTCAAGGTGACTAATAGAAAACAGCACACAGGCTTGGTCACAGGCCCTTGGGCAATGCCTGGGTAACCACACACCACGGTGCAAGGCACTTCCCTTCACCATCCCACCTGCAGCCAGCTCACTAACGGCTGCAAGGCTTTTAATCACCATGGTCTTCAGCCTGGCTAGCAGTTTCCCATGTGGCACCACATCAAATGCTTCACTGAAGTTGGGAGAGATAAAATCTACCGCATTTTCTTTGTCTAGAATATCACTTATCAAAGAAGGATATCAGGTTAGGCTGGCATGCTCTATCTTTGGTAAACCTGTTAGATATTTTATCATATTTTCCATTTACCTCCAAGCCTTTATTTTACCACTTTCTTGTAGAAGCTGTTCCAAAGCCTCCAGCCATTGAGGCTGAGACAAGGGGGGAGTTGCCCAGCTCACAGTTGTTGTTTTGTTTTTTTTTTTCCTTTCCTTATTTGCTATTTCTATCCAACAACCCCCACTTCACAAAGCCACAAAGCCCTTGTTCCTGGAGTGCCAGGATGCTGTTAGAGTACTCCCGGATGAGCTTACTGGTCCTGTGCTTTGCACCCATGGGGTTGTTGGGGTTTTTCTCCCCACCTTGGTGCTGCTAACTGCCTGCTTTTTAGCCCTGGGGCTGCTGAGTGCTGAGGGGTCACACCTTGCTTTGCTTGCAGCTGCACCTCCCGTGCCCATGCTTGTTGATCTTTTCCCAGTCACCCCCAGTTCAGGAGAGCTGGTCCTGCCCCCGGCTGCTGGGCGAAGGTGACAGCCTCTCCGCAGCCACCACGCAGCTGGATAAAGCCCACAGATAGTGCCACTCTGTGCACGATACCTGAGCTGGGTACAAATGATAGTACAGCTGTTTAAAAGCTGCTCTGTAACGCCAGGTAAATATTTGCCTGGCACAGCTCCTGCCCAGCACACAGGGCCACCGAGCCATCCCCATGCGGGTGCCCAGCCGATGGCAGCCAGCTCCCCCCTCCCAGGGAGCTGCTCACCATCCCAATGCAGGCAACTGTTCCCAGGGTTGCTGCCTGCTGGGGTCACCCCATGCCCCTCTCCAGGGTCTCCTGTGGGGTTTGCTGCAGTCACAGGGTGCTGTGATGCTCAGCACCATGCCTACCTGCTTCCCAGGCCATGGGGGAAGTTTCTGGCTGGGATGAGCAAGGCTTTTGTGTGGGCTGTGGTTCAGAGATCCTTTTGCTTTGGTTTTTTTTTTGTTTTTCCCCTTTCCCTCAATACTTCTGATGGGGTGTCAGGGTTAGGCTTCTTGCAGCAAGATGCTGTGAGCTGCTGGGATCCGTCAGGCAGTTCTCCCCTGCCTGCTCATGGGTGATGGGGAGTCTTACAGGCAGCTAGGCTTTGGCAGCGTGGCCTGAAGCTCTGCAGGCTTGATGCTTCCCTCCCACAAAATCTTGGGCAACCTCTTGACTGTGCTGTCTCTCTTGCAGGTAGTGACAGCTCAGCAGGAGCAGGTACGTGAGGGGCCTGAAGGAGGGGAAGGTGGCTGGGGGAGGGTGTATCTGCCTGGGTAGGGGGGTCATGGCAGTCCTGTGCTGGGCTGGGGGGGCAGGCAGCCACAGTGGGTTTGCAGGGCTGCCCTAGGGTCCATGCAGCTGGCTCTCATCCTCTCATCTTTGTCTCCTTTGCAGAAGGACACTCCAGCTCATTTCACGCAGGTAAGTGTGCTCAGCCGAGGCTGCTGCCTTCATGTCCCCTTTGCATTTGGGCTACCAGCCTGCTCCAGCCTTGCCCCATCTCTCTTGGCCAGTAGCCACAAGGAACCACCCCCAGGTGTAACGTGCCTGTGTTTGGCTTGCAGGGGATGTGCTGGCCGTGCTCTTCGGGGTGCTCTTTGCCATCACGGCGCTGGCTTTCCTGCTGTACATCTACAAGCACCGCAGCCAGAACGCACGGTGAGCAACAGGGAGCTGCAGGAGGAGGGGGCTTGGAATTCCAGGGAATTAGAAGGAGGGTTAAGAGTGGTCTGTCAGGCAGCGGGATGGCTTAGCAAGGACCCTCTACCTGCTCTAACATTCCCTTGCTTCCTCCCCTACCAGGCTGGACTCACCGACCAAATCCAAGGTCATCTACACAGCAGCCACCACAGAGAACACCGCGTGATCCCCACGCCTCCATGGTGGTCCCAGCCCCACTGGTGCAGCCTGCCACCCCACCTCCCCTCACTCCCACCCTGGGCCGAGGGAGGTCCAGTGCTCCAGCATCCCTCACCTGCACCATCTGCCCACATGGACTGTTTGCCTGGGGCAAATATCTACCCCAGCAGATATTTTTGTTATAAAAAAAGTTTAAAAACATATTAAAAAAAAAAGAGTAAAAGCCTCCCATGTTGCCAGCCTTCTCTGCTGTCCTTGTGAGAAGCTATGGGGCAGGAAGGGCCACCGGTGGAGCTGGACCCACACGGGAGAGAGGTGCACAAGGAACCCTTCCTGACAAGCAGAGACAGCCCTGGCCTGTGTACCCTGGGCAGAGCTCCAGAGCAAGCAGCACAGGGCTTGCTGCACAGCCAGGCCCTGCCCTCCATCGTCCTGGGACTTCTTCCTCCTCTTATTTGTGCAAAGTGTTGGAAAAACATAGCTGCGGCTCAGTAGGGCCGGAGCAAAGCAGAGCTGAGGGTGGCAGAGCCACTGCTTCCTCGCTGGCCAGCCCCCACCCAGCTCCCCTCTGGCTCTACCATAGCTGGAGCGTCCCAGATCCACAGCTGCCTCCCACCTTTCCTGGTGGGAGCTCCAGAGAGCTCTACAGCCGTGCCAAAATCAGGAGAAGCAGGCCAGGTCCAGGAGAGGGGAGGAACCTGCAGGTCTCCATCTCTCAGCAGCCTCCACCCCAAAGCAGTAAAACTGAAGCCCAGCCCCTGTTAGGATGGACAGAGCAGGAGCAAGACCTCCAGTTAACTGGGGTCTGCAACTGCCAGACCCTCCCCACCCCCTCACAAGCCCCTGCCACCCTGAACAGGGTGCTTGCACACAGCCTTACTTGCCTGTGGTACTTCTTTTTATTGGTACAAAAGCCCATTGTGGATAAAACTGCCTTCTCAGCCCTGAGACTGGTGGCAGTTTCTCCCTCCCAGCCCTGTGGCACAACACCAGGGCTGATGCGTGCCTGAAAATCCCCCTCCAAATGCAGGAGAGGGCAATGATCCCCTGGAATGGCCCCTTGAACCCCTTCCCCAAGCTGTGCTGGCACCAGCTGTGAGGCTGCATCTCCTCCCGAGCCCCCCACCACCCTCCATGTCCACTGGGTTCTTTGGGTGCCATCTTATCCCCATTCTACTCCTGTCCCCAGGTGCTGTTGGTCCCCTTGGATCCCCCAGCACCATCCTTCCTGCATCAGGAAGCTGGGTCACTGCAGCTACTGCAGTCCAGTGCCAGGGCCGCAGCTCCCAGGGCAGCGAGGCTGGGCAAAGAGGCAGAGAAAGCACCACAGCTGTGAGCCCCGACCCAGAGCGTGGCAGCGCTTTGCAAAGCCACTTCCTCCACCCAGCAGTGAGGAAGTGATGTGCCCTCCCTGTCCCCAGCACAGGGGGTGGCACATCTTCTACAGCAGGGGGAGAAGCGATGGGTTTCTTTGGGCTCAGGCCTCTGTCAGTCCAAGGTAGCATCCTTCCCAGGCAGGCTAATTCCGGCTCTGCTCACAGCAGGGCCACCAAAACTGAGCTGTTCTCCAGAGGCTCCCAAAGGGGTGTAGGAGTGAGCCAGTCCCAGCCACACCAGTCAGCTGGCTGCTACAGCTGGGACCCAGTGCCTGCCCTGCTGGGACTGGCCGGGGTCCCCTAGTCCAGGAGAAAAGATATTGCAGAGAAGGTAACGGCTGCTCTTGCTGCCAGGACAGAGGGGAGGGCAGGGGTGGCTGGGGACAGGAACATCCTGTGGGGCCTCAGGATCCTGGCTGGGGGCTGGCTCTGCTCTGTAGACCTGTTGGAACCAAGAGAAGAGCGAGTCAGTTTTCACCAGACTCCTTACACCATCCACTTCCCCCAGGAGAGGCAACAACCCCACCACAACCTGAAACTCAGCTTCTTCTCTAGTCTGCCAGCCAAGGGGATGATGCCCTTATGCCAGCCCTGGGGACAATGGTGAGGCTGCACCTCAAGTCCTGTGTTCAGTTCTGGGCCCCTCAATCCAAGAAGGACGTGGAGGTGCTGGAGCCTGTCCAGAGAAGGGCAACAGAGCTGGGGAAGGGTCTGGAGCACAAGTGTGATGAGCAGCAGCTGAGGGAACTGGGGTTGTTGAGCCTGGAGAAAAGGAGGCTGAGGGGAGACCTCATGGCTCTCTACAACTGCCTGAGAGGAGGGTGGAGAGAGGTGGGGGTGGGTCTGTTCAACCAAGGAACAGGTGACAGGACAAGAGGAAATCACCTCAAGTTGCACCAGGGGCGGTTTAGATTGGATATGAGGAAGAATTTCTTCACTGAAAGGGTTCTCAGGCATTGGCAGGGGTTGCCCAGGGCAGTGGTGGAGTCCCCAGTCCCCATCCCTGGAGGGATTTCAGAGTCATGTAGACACAGTGCTGAGGGACAGGGTTTAGTTGGGGACTTGTCAGTGTGAGGTTAATGATTGGACTTGATGATCTTAAAGGTCTTTTCCAATCTGGGCAATTCTGTGATTCTGTGACACCTTCTCCTGATCCCAACACCTGTCCTGGTACCCAGAAGGACCCATAAGGTCCCCCATCCCCTTTATGGAGCAGGACTTACAGAGCAGAAAGCGCCGCAGGTTCTGGGCAGATCCCCCCGAGAGCAGGTAAGCCCAGACAGCAGCAGTGGCCATCAGCAGATAGGAGGGCACCAGGCTGCCCACGTACAGGGGGTTGCAAAATGTCTGGGGAGAGAGACGGGAGAGGGGTGAGCAGGCAGGAGAGGACAGGGACAGGATGGGTGGCAGTATCACTGCCTCGATGAGTGGAGCAGGACAGGGGATACCAGCTCCAGGATTCAGTTTGTGAAGGGCCAGCTGCAAGTTCCCCGACCCAACTGCTTCACTAGTGCCAAAGGCTGTTCCCCTCTCGGCACAGGGACAAGCACGCAGGACAGCTGTCCCCAAAGACAGGTCCCAGCACAGAGCTCTGCTCCCAGCTACTCACCGACCCTGAAACAGCAAGGTGCATGACAACAACCGCTGTGATCTCCCACCAGCGCCGATGCTCACAGCCGTGGAAGAAGAGGATCCCCCAGAAGGTGTGAAGGAAAATCAGCACCATGGTCATAAAAGCTGCAGGGAGCAACAGAAGGGTGTCACCAGGGAACCACCCGCCCTAACCTGGCCTTCAGGCTCCAGGAGGGATGGAGAGGAGTGGGGAAGGGGAGTAGGGGTATTGTTGGGCCAGACTTGGAGGTGCTGGGGCAGACCCCAGGTATAGGAGGGATGGGGGAGAAGAGCAGGGAGGGTCACAGGGGACAGAAAGGGTTTGGCACAGAAAGGTGTGATAGGGAACTGTAAGGGTATCAGGTGGGTAGAGGGTGTAGCATAGAGGTGACAGCACTGGGGAGACTCCAGCCCCTTCAGGCCACCCACCTCTGCAAAAGGTGCTGGTCACTCACCTGAGGTCAGGAAGTAGAGCTGTGAATCCCCGTGGATGCCCACAGTGCCGGGCCCTAACGCATCTGCCAGGAGATTGATCATGGAGAAGGCGCCACTCATGAGTCCAAAGCCCACACCAGCCACTGTGGGGACAGGGACACTGTCAGGCCCTGAGCCACCCAGAGCCACCTCAGGCACCTCCCAGCCAGCTTTGGCAGGAGAAACCTCCCTTTCTTCCCAGCACCATGCCCAGCCCTGCTCGGGCTTGCCCCTGGCCGCAGGGTCAGGGTGCTCTGCTCTGCACAGCACTCACCATATGCCATTTGCTGGATGGAGATGGGGGAGCAGCCGTCCTCGCTGAGGGCCACCAGCCCCTCGATGGCCTTCCTGTGGGGTGAGAGCACACTGGAGCCTGGCACAGCCTGCCCACCTCCCAAGGCATGCTGCAGCACCAGGGTGGAGCAGAACAGACTGTGGTCTCACTCTGCACCATCCCACCCTCCTGGTAACCTTCCCATGACTGAGCTGCAACACCCACCATGGAGAACATCCACGTGACCGCCCTGAACCACCGGACAAACCACGCATGTGAAAACCACGTGAAGTCACACAGACAGATTTTCCACAGATAATGTGAGTGCCAGACAGCCCCGCAGAGCAGGGCTGGGGTGAGCAGGACATCACATGCAACGCAAGCAGCCCCAGTGCAGCCATGGGAGGCACATGCCGGGAGGATGTACCTGATCTCCAGGTTTATACTCTTAGAAGACATTGGAAAAAAAAATGGAGGGGGTGCAGGGAAGAGTTCAAAGAGTTAGAAAAATTATTTGGGGAGAGAAAATTGGAGAGGTAGGCTTAAAATTTTTATCAGCTAGAGGTGCAGTGGGTGAGGAGGACCCCAGACAGCTCCTCAGCCCGGGGAGGAGAGCAGCGCTTGCGACCAGAGGCGGTGGTTGTGTTGGAGGCCGCTCCGTGGAGCTCTGCTACCCTCTGCCTGCCCGCCTCCGGCAGCGCCCTGCTGCAGGGAGCCCTGTGAGCCTGCCCACCCCACCTTCCCCAGCACCCAAAACCACCTCCAGGCTGTCCCCAAGCACTGGAACAGGCTGCCCAGGGAGGGTGTGGAGTCTCCTTCTCGGGAGACATTCAAAACCCACCTGGGCACCTTTCTATGTGATCTCATTTAGGTTCCTGCTCCAGCAGGGGGATTGGACTGGATGATCTTTTGAGGTCCCTTCCAATCCCTGACATTCTGTGATTCTGTGTGTCCCTGCTCACACAAAACCATCCCTAATTGAGGAACAAGACTTGCCAGGAGGGGAGGGCAGACCCCTAACCCTTCTCTGCCCCCCATGCACCAAAGGGAGCATTTCCTGGTGCCTGGTGTCCCCCCTGAGCTGCAAGGGCACTGCTGGCGCTTGTCACCACGGCAAAGAGGATGCGACAGCTCCTGCAGCAGCCCAAACCCACAGCCTACCTGTCCTGAATGCAGGGAGATGCTACCAGCCATATCAGCCCTGGCTCCTCCAGACCTTAGGGCCATCCTGCTCCACCACCTGAGACCCACTCGAGGTCAACATCCCAACACAGGTACCACCTGTGTGCTCCCCACAAGGACCACGCTTGGCATCCCTCCCCCCTCCCCCCACAGCCCAGGAGCTCCCAGCTGAAATCTGGCACCCACCATGACCGGGAGGATGGGAGGACCACCCAGCAGGGCGGGAGATGTCCTTACCTGAGGAGCTTGTAGTAGAGGAAGCGGAAGGCCTCCTGCAGCAGCACAGAGAACATCACCCCAAATATCAAGAGCCCCTTCTGCAAGGGCTCATCCCGGGGGTCGCTGGCTTTAACGGCGATAAACCAGATGAGGGAGGAGAGCAGCAGCGACACCAGCCAGAAGAAAGCCCTGCAGGAGAGACAGAGAGAGACAGAGCGCCTGCTGGCACCAGCGCTGCGCCAGGACCGGTGCCGGGACCGGTGCCGTTGGCCTGCAGCCCCCTGTGCTGGTATCGACACCGGCAGCCAGGCCCCAGCCTTGCCCACCCTTCTCCCAGCACCATTCCAGTAGCAGTGCTGGGCAGGTGGTGCCTGTACTGGTACCACTGCTGTCCCAGCGCTCCTCCTCCTCCACTGGTCACTGGAACGGGCACCAGTGCTCCCGCTGTGCCCACACCAGTACCAGTGCCAGCACCAGTAACACTCACATCCACACCAGTAACAGTGCCAGTATCAGGTTCACATCCACACCAGTAACAGTGCTAGCACCAGTAACACTCACATCCACACCAGTAACAGTGCCAGTACCACGTTCTCCTGATCCCACACTGGTGCTGGTACCAGTTGCACGCAGGCACCAGTACCACTAACAACCCTGCACCAGCACTGGTACCAGTGCCCCCCCCATCCCCTGCCATTACCCACACCAGTGTCCTCCCCATCACGCCCACGGTGACCACAACGGAACACCAGTACAACACCAGTACAACACCAGTACTGGTGGCCTTGTTGTGCAGAGAATGGCACCAGTACAAGTGCCATTACTGGTGCCCCGTCCTGCCCACGGCGGTACCAGTAGAAGTACCAGTGTCCCTGAGTGCCAGCCCCAGTAACCCTCACATCCACACCAGTAACAGTGCCAGTACCACGTTCTCCTGATCCCACACTGGTGCTGGTACCAGTTGCACGCAGGCACCAGTACCACTAACAACCCTGCACCAGCACTGGTACCAGTGCCCCCCCCATCCCCTGCCATTACCCACACCAGTGTCCTCCCCATCACGCCCACGGTGACCACAACGGAACACCAGTACAACACCAGTACAACACCAGTACTGGTGGCCTTGTTGTGCAGAGAATGGCACCAGTACAAGTGCCATTACTGGTGCCCCGTCCTGCCCACGGCGGTACCAGTAGAAGTACCAGTGTCCCTGTTGCTCTTGCAGTGGTACCAGTATAAGCAGGGATACTGGTGTCCCTGTCACACTCACCAGTATGAGCACAGTACTGGTGCTCCTTTCATGACCATGACCACCAGTATGAGCACTGGTGTCCCTAACGTGCCCATGACTGTTCCAGTAAGAGAAACAATACTGGTGTCCCTGTCATGGGAACAACAGCACCAGTACGAATACTGGTACCGGTGCTCCTCTCACACCCACAATGGCACCAGTACTGGTGCCCACATTGTGCCTGCACCAGCACCAATCACGTCCCTGTCACACCCACACTGGTACCAGTGCTC